ATCCAGGAAGCTCCTGTGTAAGTCCAATCTGTCAAAGATGAAATAAAAGCAAACAAAAGCAGGGGCCTTCTGATTGAGGCCGGGATGGGGAGCCAGACGCCCACCCCCAGTGCGGCCCCGGGGCCCTCAGCTCTCTGAGGACAGCTGGACAGCCAGAGCAACACGGAAAATCCTCTACATACAGCGCCTGCGCCCGGCCCCTTCCACCACCACCCCGCTTCCCGCCTGGGCGGCACAGAGCCCCTGCTCCGTGGTCACCGCAGGGATAAGGAATGGAAACCCAGGGACCTACCCACAAAGGGGCGGAGAGTCGGGATTACTCCAGATCTGGGTGTCACGGCAGCTGAGCACAGAGCAGCTTGACACTTCCGGTCCACATCCAAGCAGGCACCTCACACCCACCCACGCTGCACTCCTCACCAGGGCCTTCTAGGCTTCTAGAAGTCTCCGTCCGCCTGCCTCCCTGGCGTCTGACAGCCTAAACCCTGCAGGTTTTCCGGAGAGAAGCTCAGGTTGGGCAGGTCTGTGTGCGCCAACAGGCAGGCAGACAGACAGACAGACAGACAGCAGTGCTGAACGGCACCCCTCCATCAGACACCCACCCACGCTGCACTCCTCACCAGGGCCTTCTAGGCTTCTAGAAGTCTCCGTCCGCCTGCCTCCCTGGCGTCTGACAGCCTAAACCCTGCAGGTTTTCCGGAGAGAAGCTCAGGTTGGGCAGGTCTGTGTGCGCCAACAGGCAGGCAGACAGACAGACAGACAGACAGCAGTGCTGAACGGCACCCCTCCATCAGACGTGTTAAAAAACAATCGCCTTTGTATGTGCAAACAAAGCCTATTTATTAGCTGACGTAATGAGACAGAAGGCCCGGTTTAGAATAGCCAAACAGAGAGCTTCCCGGGGCAAAAATGAAACAAACCTTTCTGTGGCTCCCCCTCCTCCAGGCAGCCCCCCAGAGGCCCCCCCCCAGCGCACTGCCTCCTCTGAGCGCCCATGGCTGAGTGCACACAGGCCCGTCCCACCGGCACCACTGTCCTGTCTCAGACCCTCGTCCGCCCTCAGAACCTCAGTGTCCTGACCCCAGCACAGCACAGCCACGCAGGCACGGTCAGCACACGTGGTGGAAGGTCCCCCCGCCGGCTCAGGCCCTGCAGGCTCCCCGGGCTCCCACGGGTGGCCTGACGCTCAGGGCTTCTTCGTGCCAGAACTTTCGAACACTGGGTGACGTGCTGGGGGAGTGTAACCGGGCACACTCTGGGGAGGGTGCGCTGGCAAACAGGTCACAGATGACCTGGCCCCTCCCTGCCGCCCAGAAGCCTGCGTGGGTCTCGGCATTTATCCCACAGGATGGGCTGGACGTCTGAAGCTGCTGTCCGCAGTCACCAGAGGCCTGAGCAACCTCATCACATTCAGCCAGCAGGTCCCCACGCAGGGCTCAATGATACACAAACAGGACGGTCGCACCCGGCCGGCGTGGCTCCGGGGCTGAGCATCGATGTGCGACTGTGGACCCATGTCCCCGCGATGCGCTCGGAAAAGGCACGCAAACTGCGGGGCAGCGGGCACAGCCTCCTTCCTGCCGTGTTACGGTCGGAGACAAGTGCTGTAAACGTTCACTTACAAACTCTAAGTGTGCACGTGTGTGTGCGTGTGTATGCACGTCTGCATGGACAGGCACATAGGCACATGTCTACACACACTGGCCGTTTCATGCGGGAAACAGCTGGACGCACAGGGGAGCGGGCACGAGAGCGGGGTGAGGGGCGGCCACCGCACTCTGTGCCGTCAGCGTGGTGCCCGCCAAACACAGAGCGATTCCAACAAGGACAGGAAGGGAGCCAGCCCGCCCCGCGTGGCTGCAGGGCACTCACCAGGGCGCGTAGGAGGCCGCTATGAAGAAGTAGATGACCATGCGGTCACACATGTGCAGGCAGCGCTCCACCATCCTGGGCAGAGAAGGCGGCGTCACCCCGCAGCCGGGCAGCACTGGCCCAGCGAGGGCCTGGGCGGGGCCCCGTCTGTCCAGCCACCCCCTCGGCCTCGGCCTCCGTCTCCCCGCGACCAGGCTCCCTACCCCTGGGGTTAGCTGGAGCTGCCTGGGGTCCCTCCGAGGACCCTCCTCCCCTCCCCCCTGCGTTTCTATCATACATCCTGGGCTTTCAGGAGATTGCAAGTGAGGAAAGATTTCTGTGGCTAAAATGCAAAACTATTAAACTCTGCGCCCCGCCCTGGCTGGTTTGGCTCAGTGGACAGAGCGGCGTCCTGTGGGCTGAAGGGTCGTGGTTTTTTTCCTGTCCAGGGCACATGCCTGGGCTCAGTCCCCACTAGGAGGCATGCAGGAGGCAGCAGATCAGGGGTTCTCTCTCATCATCGATGTTTCTCTCCCTTTCTCCCCCTCTGAAGTCAACAAAAATTTATTTAAAAAATAAAATAAACTCTGTGCCCCCTAAAGACCCTCTGGATTCTGGCTTTGTGGTTTCATGCCCAGGCTCTGGGGCCAGAGGCCTGGGTTCGAATCCCAGCCCAGCGCTTAGGGACTGTGTCCCTGACCAAGTCCTCTCCCTGCTCGGGGCTCAGTCCCCGCCTCTGTAACAGGCGGGCATCAGCGACCATCGCAGGCGGCTGTGAGCACTGGGTGGGTGCCCACGTGCAGGGCAGGAAGCGCCCACAAACAGCTGTTGGCAGCATCCCCGAGGGAACCCCGCCTCCCCACCCCCTCGGCCAGGTCCCTGCACGGCGTGGGCGGCTCGGTACCTGAGGTGGCGCTTCCTCCAGGAGACCGCGTGGAACACGGTGGACACCACGAAGAGCCCGCACAGGCCCAGGCCATAGATCCAGGCGGAAACGGTCTCCCAGGCGTCGTCTGACAGGAGGTAGAGGTTGGAGCTGCCGAGGAAGCTGGGGATGATCCAGAGCTGGAAGCGGGGTGCAGGCAGCGGCTCAGGGTC